GAGCGTACTCTTTCGCAACAGACCTAGCTTTGAAGGTCTCAACCTTCCCATTTGCTCCTCTCTTTCTCTTATAGACCCACTTGCATCCAATGGCGCGGACGCCACTGGGTGGCTCTACAAGATCCCAGACCTAATTAGAGTCCATTGACCCTATTTCATATTTCATCGCCTTTTGCCAAGACTCTGCGTCCCGATCTTGGAGTGCCTCATTGTATGTCCATGGGTCGGATGCAAGAACGTCCGGGACAGCCTTAGAAGATTCTCCCAGACCCATGAATCGTTCGGGCTGCCGGACAACCCTCCCACTACGACGAGGTACTACCTGCTCAGGTGCATCATCAGCAATACGTGTTGCAGTACTTTGTGGTGTAACATCTAGCGCACTCGGTGTTGAAGTACTCACTACCTTTAACTCCTCGAGGACATGTCTACTACTGGGCTTATGATCTAAGACATAGTCCTCTTTCAAGAACCTAGCATTCGTGCTAACGATTACTTTCTGGTCCTCGGGACTATAAAATAGACCACCTTTCGTTTCCTTAGGATATCCTCCAAACAGCCTTACTTCTGTTCTCGGTTCCAACTTATCAGTATCGGTTCTCAGCACGTGTGCTGGACTACCCCAAATCCTGAGATGCCTTAGACTGGGCTTATGCCCAGACCACAACTCCAATGGTGTAGACGGTACTGATTTAGAAGGTACTCTATTCAGAATGTACACCGTTGTTTGTAGAGCATATCCCCAAAACGAATCTGGTAACGTACTATAACTCATCATTGCATCATTGCCTTAACCATTTCCATAAGAGTTCTATTCCTCCGTTCTGCTACGCCATTCTGCTGAGGCGCGCCAGGCGCAGTCAGTTGGGGTGTAATCCCATTATCCGTCAAGTAGCTCCTAAATTAATTTGAGAGATATTTTCCACCACGATCTGATCGTAATGACTTGATACTTTTTTCTAACTGCTTCTCCACAACTGCCTTATACTCTAAGAACTTCTCAAAGCATTCAGACTTGCGGTGCAGAAGGAAAATGTACCCATATCTCGAGTAATCATCGATAAACGTAACGAAGTACTCGAAACCACCTCTCGCTTGAACGCTCATAGGCCCACATAGATCGGAATGAACTAGCCCTAACACATCTTCGGCTCTATTCCTATTTGAACTAAAAACCCTCTTAGTCATTTTGCCTTCCAGGCAAGACTCACAAGTTGGAAAAGCCACGACTTCTAACGACCCTAAGGGCCCGTATGCTACAACCTTTGAATCCTCCTAAGATTAACATGACCAAGTTTTAGATGCCAAAGATATGTTTCGTTCATTTTAGAAGGTTCCTTTCTCTTATTTAGATTAGATGATGAATTAATTGTTTCTGTTGCACTGGAGATGACTTAGATTCTAGAATGTATAGATTCTCAATTAATGAACCAGAACATATGAACTTTTTGCCAAAATGAATAACAACTTTATTATCAAAAGTAGCAAAAAATCCGTTCATAAACAACTTAGAAACTGAAATCAAATTCTTTCTAAAACAAGGAACATAAAGACAATCTTTCAAAACTAGAAACCTATCTAAGACAAAATCTAAATAGACGTCTCCCACTGCAACTGCTAACGCTCTACTAGCATCTCCCAAGTAGATGGTAACTTCTCCTTCCCTAAGTCGCTTGGTTTCCCCTACAATGAATTGCAGACATGATCAGTGGCTCCTGTATCTACACACCAGGTATTGGTAGATAACACCACTAAACATGTTTATAAGACTAAAGCAAAAGGTGTACCTTTGTCGAACTTCTTGGGGAGAGGGCAGTTTGTCCTTTCTGCTGGTAATTGTGGCACTTGCCTTTTGGCTTCATCGCTTTTTGTCGAGGTTGTGCGTCATTCATGACTGCCTTACTCTTTTCTGCGGACTCCTTCCTCTTCTTGCCCTTTGAAGCCTTAGAAGTGGAAGCTTCTCCCCGCTGGGCCACCATAGCTTGGGTCTTCTGACGAAATAGGCCCTCTGCCGACTGAAGATCAGCAACAAGTTCCGGAAGAGTCATCAACATCTTATTCATGTTGTAATTCAACCGGAATTGCTCGAAGCTCTTCGGAAAAGACTGGAGCACTATATCGACCTTGGTTTCCCAGTCAATAAAAGCCCCAAGTGCCTCCAACTCATTCTGCTGGGCCATCATAGCAAGAACATGTTCCCTTACGGGAGTGCCCTCGCGCATGGTCATGTTCATCAGAACCCTCATGGCCCCTTGTCAGGAAGCCCGCGACTGATGACCAAATAACTCCTTGAGATTGAGAAGCATCTCTGCTGCAGTGTTCATAGACTGATGTTGTCGCCATCTCGTCAGCCTTTTTCCACCGAGCAAACTCCTCTTTCTCTTGGTCTGGTGCATTGTCAGCAGGCACAGCCGGACAAGCCTCAACAGTAGCAAATTTGTACCCTTCAGCAGTTAACACAATATCCAAGTTTCTTTTCCAGTCAATATAATTGGGACCAACAAGTTTGTTTTCTTTAAGAATTACGAACAACGGATTGAAAGACATTTTGAATTCCTGGGATCACGCAAACATAGTCTTTACTCAGTCAAGTAGATTTTAATTTAAACATTAAATATGATCCCATGTAACAATATTCAAATAAATTCACCAACACCTCAAAACACGGAATCCCCGCAGGCCACAAGTGTGGACATCTACGGTTCAAACATTCGTAAGAGGAGGGATAAATCCCATTAGCTTAACATACTGCCGAGCAATACTTAACTAATAGTCGGTTTCATCTTTTGGCCAGCACAATTAACTTATAAAAGAATAAAAACGACCTTATCCTTTGGGACTATCATAATTATTTGCACTTTAAGTGTATCCCATTAATTGGTACTAAGTTTACTACCAAAATTATACGTCCACCTTTGGGTGACCCGTACACTTTTAAAATAGCTCACTATAACCATCCCGAAGGAGATTCGTCCTTGTGAACCGTGAAATAAAACATGCATGATTAATGAGCAATAATAAACTAGGAACTATAATCCAACTATCATGGCCATTAATCAATCTCCAATGTTACGGAGAAAACACAGTCCTGTCCTTGTTGAATGTGTCCTCCGATTCAGGTATTGGAACTCCCCTTTCGCAGTGACTCCCACTGAATTGGTTGTCTCCGGGAAAATCGCCATTGGATCATCACCATGGCATCCGTGTATGTGTTTATCGCTTCGTCCCGTCAAGGTTGGTCCACACCTGCCGGATCAATAATGAATAATACAAAGCAATTACATAATTCATCCTATGACCCACCGCGCGAATAATTTATTACAAGCATTCACCAACCCAAAAATTCCTTGACATGTCCAAGGCTTTAAAAACAACATACATTCAACATGAATTAAAATCCATACATACGGGCCACAATAGTCGGATTCGAAATACCTGCAAAAACTTATTGCAATTTCTAATCTACTATGCCACTGCGTCCGTATGCACATAATTCATGTAGACAGGCAAAGTCCAAATTCAAACTGTGCACGAGGTTGAA